TATAGGTGTGTATATATATATATACCCATAGGTAATGTATGTGTGTATGTATGTATGTATGTATGCATGCATGCACGCACGCACGCACGCACGCACGCACGCACGCACGCACGCACGCACGCACGTACGTACGTATGTATGTGTGTATGTGTGTATGTGTTTATTAAGTATGTAATTATATATACATATATGTGGTGCATGTGTATATAGTGTGTCGGAGCGGACATCGCCAAGAAAGCCGACCCCGAGCATACCGCCAAGAAAGAAAGAGAGCGCTGGACAGAGACAGAGGCAGAGAGAGAGAGAGAGCCAGACAGACGGACCAGACCGACAGACATGTAACTATGTAGGTAGGTAGATAGTCAGGTAGACAAATAGACAGATAGAAAGATGGAGAGATGGAAGGATATCTGGAAATATCAACAGATCACTGGACAGATAGAGCGACGGGCAGCAGATAGGTAGGGAGAGAGATAGGTCCAGGTAGGGAGGTAGGTAGGCAGGTAGGTAGGTAGGTAGGTAGGTAGGTAGCGGGTGGGTGGGTGGGTGGGTGGGTGAGGCAGGCAGGCAGGCAGGTAGGTCGGTAGGTGAGTGGGGAAGCAGGCAAGCGCCTAGGTAGGTAGGGGGACAGATAGACACATGATGCAGATGCACGTGTAGATATATACATATGTATCATCGATGTACAGATAGTTGTGATCTGCTTGAGTCTCAACGAAAAAGCCGAAGGCTTGTAGACGGATAGGTCGGGCAGGCAGTTCCCTTGAATCAGGCTTCACCGGCACGATCGGCGCGACGAATTTACGACACCCGGTTGCTTAGGTTGTTGCTGCAACCCGTGTTCACCTTCAGGGTATTAGGGTTTAGGGTTTAGGGTTAACTATTAATGCTTGTATGACGAAGGCAAGATGCCATAGTAGCTTCCACCAATCAGCGATACTGTTACAGCCCTGTTTGCTTATACCAGGCTCTACGAGAAACTCACGATTCTGTTCTGTCCCCTTCTAGCTGCCGTCAATTTACTTCGGACCAAAGCCTGAGGTTTCCGTTAGGGTTAAGGGGTTCTGCGAGGGGCATTACAAGGGTTTAGTCTAGGGCCATATAGGGCCCTTAGTCATTAGGATAGGGCATGGGTGCAACTTGTAGTAGAGACGACAAAGGTATATCTTGACAGTTTTTGTTCAGCTCCCGGGCGTTTATGACGATTTATGGTCTTCTATAATAACGGGGTTTGTCTGGTGTTCGGAGGGCAAGGGATCAGCTTTCTTCCAATTAACCTGACCAAACCCCTCAAAGTCATCCGGCTGCGGGCCATAAGACTGGATACTCGTTGCCCGAAAAGCGTAAACCCTCATCCCCCAAGCCGCTGAAGCGACCTGAAAACGACAAATGCTACAGCCCTGAAGCGGAAAAATCCTGACGAGTCTGGGCCATGGGTTTAAGGGTTTAGGGGCTTAGGGTTTAGGGGTCTTCCTCGCGTTGCCTTCTCTAAACCTGCACCCTACGCCCTAAACCCGCCTGCCACTGAACGATGGTTTTGGGTCAGGGTTTTAGGGTTTCTGGGTTCAGGCTTTGAGGGTTTGGGGCACAGTGTATAGAAAGGACATGAAAGGACTCCAACTTGGAACTCTGGCTTGCCGATGTTTCTACTTCTATCAGCAACTGCAGCCCCTCATCAATCAAGAACCCTAAACAACCCTTGTGGGATTACCTATTGTAACCACTCCAGCCAGCAGACTCGAGCGGGGATCCGAAAAGCTTTCCATGAATCAGATGAAAGCATAAAATATCCTTTCATATTCCATTCAGACTGCATAAGACGTTTCAAAGGCCCTTGCAAGAAATCCTAGGACACCCCACAAAAGGCGACCTTGCTCTGCTTGCTTTGGTTCCTGCCAGCTGTGTAGGCTCCGATTACTGAGTAGTCGTAAGCATACTTCGGCATCCCTTCTCATTGCCTCTCCAAGTCCTTCGTGCAGGAGGCTGTTGGCTGGGCAGCAGGGTCGCCGGTTTTAGTTTTAGGGTGTGGGATGGTTGGGGTCTTTGGTCTAGGGTTTTAGAGATGTTGAAGGTGTCATTGGGTCCTCGCACGTGCTGCAGTCGATGTCCGAGCTTCTGCTCTCACACTCTCCGTTCTTTAGGGCTTCGGGTTTAGAATGCGCAAGCCCCCACCAGGACGAGAGCGGTTTCACCCATGCAGCAGGCAGCCAATCTCTCGGATGCGTGACATGGCGGCAGGGTTTCCGGGCGTCTGACTGACATACATTCCTTATGGGTTCTTCGTTATACCGTCGTTATAGTTCTGGTAGACTTAATGTACCCAAACTCTATTCTGACTATTCTGTTCTGACTATCGAAGTCCCTTTGCTAGGCCCATGCATGCTTAACGAGAGAACGAGGTCAGCCCAGCCAGTCAGCTGCATGGACGAGCCCAAAAAGTCGTTGAGGAGCAAGAGCAAAGTGAAGCCCGACAAAAACCAAAGAGCAGCGTTGCAGAGCCTAGCCGGCGGAGATGTGTTGCAGTTGCTTCTGCAGCAGGTCTTTGAGCGTGCTTCTTTGGATGGGGTGATTGTCGAGTCTTTCTACCTGCAGCAGCAGATCCACTGGGAGATCGAGAAATGCTCCTGTCCATGTCTTTCATCACCCAGGACAATGAGGACCATGAGAAATCTGCACAAGCTCCTTTCTCGTATGAGCTTGACGCAAATGATTCAGTTTATCCGGCATAGCCCTGTTTGTGACCACAGCTTCCTCGACGATGCGTACACACAGATGGCCTCCTTCCGGCGAGGCGATACCAGTGAACTCGGTGGTGGGAGGCTTGTCAAGTCCGTTTGGCTGTAGTCTGCGCAATAGCTATCGCCATTCCGGACGTAAAGTCTGAAACTCAGTTTTTCTAGTGCACTTGCCTCACAGTCACGGGTGTTGTTTGTTGCACGCCCTTTTGGCAGTGTGTGCCTGTGCACGCACGGTTTCGAGACTCGGCTGTGACTGGCAGATACGCACCTTCTCCTTCTGAGGGTTTCTAAACCAAAAGGCATCCAGAGACGCCGAAATCTCGCAATTAGTTTTGGAGTATACAGAGGTGTTTATACACATACTGTAGGGTGATCCACGTCATTGTTTGCAGTGTAGTTTATTTCTTAAATCAAGGTTTGGGGTTCTCTGGGCTAGGCTTCCTGTCGTTCTAGGTAGGGGTCACCAAACCATGTAGGGGCTACCGCGCCCGAGTCTCCGAACCGTGCTTGTCCGGTCAGTGTGTTTGAATTTCACCTCATCTCTATGACCTTCTATGAGCGAGATCTTCCAAAGGCCCTTAGTTAGGAATACATCTACCTGGAATCATCTTATGGATCCTATGGGATATTCCTTCATCAAGGCATATTGGGAAGATCTGCCAAGGACGAAATGTACCCTGAAAGGGTTTAAGGGTCTGCTACCATACAGGGCTCACACTGTTCAGGACAGTAAGCCTCGACTATTGAGGGTCATGTCGTCCTTACGTTAGCCACCCCCCTTGCATGTTTGACTCAGAAATGGCCTCGACCGCATGGCAAAAATCAGTCAGAAATCCAGTGTGACATCAACCCTAAAGCCCTAAAGCCTAGAGCCAAAAGCCTTAAATCCTTAACCCCCAAATCCCCTAACCCCACAGCCCCTAAATCCTAAACCCTAAACGCTGCTCCAATCAGGGAAGACCTTCCTGCCGGCTACCGTTTCGGAGCTGGTCTCGAAGCGGCTTGACACATTTGTGTCGCATTCCGATGCTTTAAGGTGTCAGTTTTCGGGTTGGTTTGTAGACCCTATAAACCCTGAAACTATGGGCGCTAGGGCTTCAGGGCTTAAGGTTTCGGGCGGTTAGGGTGTCTCTTTCTACACACCCTCAGAAGGCACAAAGAGTTCTGGGCTGAACGGTAGGGTTTGAGGTTTGTTGAGGTTTCTGTGTCTCCTGTAACTTATGGTGCCATGATAGGGCGACCGTCCTGCGGCGATAGTCTAGAACTGTGGCAACAATGCGCTTGCAATGGTGATAGTTATCATAACTCTCATCTGTGAAGTCATGTCGCGCGCTCACTCTGATGACAGTCGTGGTCCTCAAACCCGATTAAGCCCGGCATCACGCTGCGCGCCAAGACGGGAGGAGTCTAGACATAAGATAAATGCAGTGAACTTGCCATCCAGGTGGGACACCGTGGAAGCCCGGATATTTTTTGGCTTCGAGGTGATGGCGGCTTCCCGGTCTTGAGCTTGGGCTCCAAAGGTGGGATCAAGGTAATTAGGTGGATGAATCCCAAGTAGTATGAGTTTTTCTGCAAGGCCTCTCTAAGCCTACCTACCTTCATTCCACCTTGTGGTTCAAGAGCTATCCTTCTTTCGGTTTGACGAGTTTTTGGCTTTCATGCGCACCCTGGAAGACATAATCTGCAAATGCGGGCCCATCACTCATCATCACTCAACTGAGGCTTTGAGCATTCTGCTGTCGTGGTACCCTTACAAGCTTCGAAATGCAAACTGCATTCCGCTAGAGGGCGGCTGCCACATCTTCTGCTGCGGAAAATGCTGCAGTATGTCTTGGGCAGCCGTGCGTCAGCTCCTCCAGCAGCACCGGCATCACGCGTTCCCGCCTGTGTTTTTCTAACTTATTATCCGTCGATGCTTGCGTGGTTGCCCACCGTTTGCACAAGTCATTGTGTTCGACTGACACACCCACACACACAAGGGCGTGGTGAATGCAACGCACACGGACCGAGTACGGCTTGAAGCCACACAAATTTCAAGCTCAATCTTCCCTGACATGAAACGGCAGGACTGGATCCGACGCTCGCAATACAATGTTTCGTGGCAACACCAGAACACAAATCTCCCTTATTTGGGCCTCAATCCGAGGTTCTGCCCCCCTGTTGGTCTCATGCTCGTGGCCTGCGTACCGTCGGTCAAAGAGGTGCGACCCCTCAAAAGCTACGGCAGCTATGGGTGATGATTAGCCTGACCATCAGCACCATAATATCACGATCAGGATCATGATAATCTTTATCACCCCATAATCGGTAGACCTGTCGTCACCAGCACCAGAACACTAGTCGCAGTCGTCGTAGTTTAGTGGTTTTCGTAGTCGTGCCTTGTATAGCCCTGAAGCCTACCACCCTTGAACCTAAAGCCCTAAGCCTTTCAACCCTAAACCCTGACCCCTTCCAGCCGAAAGCTTAACCCCGTTTTGGAAGACCGGAGGATGAGTGGAGCGCGGACACGCTGGTCCTAGTGGTGGTGCACTGCTTCTCCGCACTGCACCAGGGCAGCACTTGAGGGTTTTAGGGTTCAGGGTGGCCTAACGGGTAGGGCTCAGGGGTCGCGGGTTTAGGGTTTAGGGCTTAAGGTTTATAGGGTTCAGGGTTTAGGGTTTGGGGCTGAAGGTTGTTTACGGCTTTTAGGGCAAAGGGTTTCTGAGGACGGGGGGTGGTTTGGGTTGGGGCCTGTGCTTGGTCACAGACGCCTGCAGCGCCTGGGTTTAGGGTTTAGGGATGTTTAGGGCTTAGGGGTTGGACCTACCCTCTGTGCTCTGAGCATGGCCCCTAAACCCCACACCGTAGCGCTTGAGGCTCATGTTTTGCACGTTCCTGCTGGCGGAAGCTCACGCTCTTTCTCTGGCGCCATTCAGATGCCGGGCTGCTTGAAAGTGCAACTCTAGAGTCGATAGGGCTTTCAGGCTTTAGGGGATTAGAGGAATTTGGGTTTAGGAGTTTTGGCTCCGAAAAAACTGGCTTTATGCTTCAGCCATACGGGTGGACAGTTTAGTCTCCTGAGATGAGGTTCCTTCCATTGCCGCTGGGTGCCTTGAGTACAAGCTCCGATATGGCACCTGGCTACTGGCAGCCGTGCCCTATGTCGTTTTCGCGTTCATCGCGGTGGTCGATTTCTTCACCGAGCTACATCCGTATGTGAAGATCACATCCTTCGTGCTGGAGGCTGTTTCAACGTCTGTGTCACAGGCTGTTGTTCCTGCCATTTGGTTTCAGGTTGTTGGCCTGTCAGGGTCTTTAGGGTCCGCAGGTGTTTCGCGCTGGCGTTACATCCCTAAACCCTGAGCCCCTGAAAAGGTTTGATAGGTTCGGGATCTGGTTCTGTGAGCTCCTCAGGTGGATGCCGGCTTGGCAATGCTTGCCAACCATTTTGTTATTTGGCTACTCGGCTTCTACTCACAGGGGGGTTTCCGAAAATAGGGGACCCTAATATAGTACCCTAATTAATAGGATCCCTATTATAAGGACCCCAAAACAAGGTACCCTAATTTTCTGAAACTCCCACAATTTAGAGTTTGGCCCGAAAGACAGAGCCCATCCCCTAAACCCCAAACCCCGCAGCCCAAATCCGAAACCCCAAACCTTAGTTTGGGGGTTCAGGGTTTTCGAGCCTTCAGGCTTCTCTGATATGTGAAAAAGGAGCTTCTTCCAAGTTACCATAATGGGTTTTCGGGTTTAGGATGGTTTAGGGCTCATGTTTGTTTGAGTTTGTGTATCGTTTCTGTTTAACGGTTCAGGGTTCATTCACGACAACTGGGAACGGCAGGGATGTAGCCAGACTATGTCTTTGAGAGGCTTTCGCACACACAGCATCCCTAAGCCCTAAGCGCTTAAACCTTCAACCTTACGGCCTACCCCCCTTCTCAGAAAACACTGCAAAAGGCCACAGGGAGCCAAGGGTACCACTGAAGGGCAATATCATCGATGCTTGGATGAATGTCCGACATGAACCTACCCATAGGCCCTAAAGTAGTTCCTTTTTGGGACTCATAGATAGAATCCTATAAGGTAACCCCCAAAAAGGACCCGGTCCTTACTGCTGAAACCTCAGACCTCGCAACCATAAAACCCTGAACCCTAAACCCGAATCAGCCCTGGTAAGCCATATTAAAAAAAAAATATATATATATATATTTATATATATATATATATTTATTTATTTATTTTATATACATATGTATATATTAACCCTAAACATAAGAACAAACTCACTAAACCCGAACACAGCCTAAACCCCAAATCCTAAAGCTCTCCACCCCCCCCCCAACCTGGTTGTGTGAGCCAAGGGCCTTTGCACCAGAAAGGACCTGGGGTTTGCGTGATGTCGAGATGTCGGTTCAGAACTGACGGGTCTTCGCCTCAAGACGAGGGTGAAGCGTGACGTCGTTTTCCGAAGGCACTCGCAATCCTGATCATGATTACCACAGCTTTATCGTCGTGGAGCAGTGATTGGCGCGATCATCAAAAACATATGAATCTGCATAAGGCATCTGCATCACAAGTATACCTAACTACATCGACGAGCAGGGCCCACGACGTGCCGCAAATTTGTGGCTTCTGTATTTCTGGACCATCGGTTCTCGCTCATTGCAAAAGGGGCAGCGTCCTTATGGCGCTATGATTTGTGCAGGCTGCTCTGCTTTGGGCATGTCGGTTTTGAGGGACGGGAGTATACCCTACAGCCTAAAGCCTACAAGCCCGAAACCTAGAGCCCTAGAAACCCATAGTTGTTTGTTGCAGGGCTGAGGCTGCTGGTCAGATAAGCTTTATCGTTCACATGACGATCAGGATGTTGCAAACGAAGACGGTGATAGCACTGTCGGTGGATATGACGGCGGTGGTGAAGGTGTTGATGGCAGTGGCGACGAGACTGTAATCACTAGGACGGTGACCATATTCATGATGATTACAGACGGAAAGTTTCAGTGTTTGGTTATGTGGCTAACGGCCAGGATTAGCATGCTGCTGGCGAGGACGCTGCTACTAGTAGTTACTAATGATGAAGGTGAACTACATGACGACAACGAGCGGCTTTGACTGATTGGTAGGTGGATTTGGTCTACTGGTCGTAATTATGGCCGGCATAGCGGTTTAGGCAAGGATAAACGTGTTGAGGCCAGCCGGATCGTTTCTATTTCTGAGCATCTCGTGTTGCAGCCAATGCAAGAACGTACGATGGTACCTCGGCGGGTAACATGTCAAAATGTCCAGGCACGGCCATACTTCTGGAGGACCGACGGCTGTTGGCTTTGTTCATACAAGTGCAATGCATCACCATGAAGCTGGACTATGTCACTGTTACAGGTACAGTTTGCTATGCGACGTTGAATACTATGATTCGATCAGGTCATCAGGCATACCGATATACCACGCCCCTGCACGATACGAAGGGCATGCGGAAGTGCTCGGGATTTGCATGGAGGAGATTATGGCTAATTATAGCACAAACAAAGCTGCAAAGCCTTTGCCAGGCAGGTCGGCTGGGCGACAACCGATCTGCTGTGCTTCGCTCGGTTCAAGGGCTTTGGGTGTGCCCAGCTATGAAATTTCTAATAAATAGATTATGATTAGTAATTACTTATGGAATTTTAGATTTTTCCAATATAAGATCTATTATAGATTACTTTTGGTAAACTATGTTTGTTTTCGCTTTTGCATTTCGGGGAGTCGGTTTTTGTCGGCTGAGGGTGCGGGCTGTCTCGGGCTAAGACCGTAGCCCTGAACTGAAAACCTTCGTCGTCGCTGAATATGGAAGCCTAAATATTTGCCATAATTACTATTGCTGGGGTTCCTTGTTATGACTATACTATACAGGAGCCCAAAACCCTATGATAATTATTAAGGCTCCAAAACCCTAAACCCTTATAGAACCTTTTAAGGAACCCTTAAAGGAACCCCAGAAACCCTGTTCTAAGCCCAATACATCATGCTTATGGTTTGAGATAGGCGGCTGAGCCGCCGGGCCCTGACGGGGTTTCCCTTGTTGAGCGTTTCAGCGGTTGGGGTTCTACCGTCTTCTGCCTTGGGGATGGTCTCAGGACTTAGTTGCCCTAAACCCCAAAACCCAAAACTCGACTCTAAACCCAAAACCCGACTCTAAACCCAAAATCTGCGCTTTGCGGATGTAGCTTGCATCTTGGAAGCTCCCGAAGCAAAAACACCAACGCCTCAGCCTGAGGGTTTGGACTTTAGGGTGTGGAGTTTAGGGTTTAGGGTTCGGGGTTTAGGGCTTAAGGCTTAGAGCCTAGCGTTTGGGGTTTAGAGCGTGGCGTTTTGGGTTTAGGGCTTTGGGCTTAGGGCTTTGCGTTTGGGGTTTGGGGTTTAGGGTTTAGGGTGGTGTAGATGGTAGTAACAGCAACAGAAGCCCATGTAGAAACCTGAGAAACCACTCCCTGTTCCGACAACCCCGTGCGATCCCGGTAAAGGTCGTTGTCACGGGAAGGGCGTTGTTAATCAGGGATTTACTTTGAAGAAAAAAGCTTTGTAAATCCTTGTATCACAGAACCAATATCATAAAACATCAACACTCCTATAAAACCCTTTAAGTTCCCATCATCAGAACAATACCTATACAAAACTATCCAGAACCATGATACAGCCTTTAACCCCTCATACAGAGGGGCTTTCAGTATGTTGAGTCCCTTGCCTGCCTTTCGGACTTCAGTTGCAGGCTTCCGTCGCCTCGTACCCTAATCGCTATTTAGGTATGAGGGTTTCGAGTTTTGGGTTTAGGGGTAAGCACCATGCTGCAGGAGTTCTGCAAAGAAGGGCGATTACTGTGGGGTTTATAGGGTTCGGGAGTCTACCCTCAGCAATCTTGCACACCCAGGCTCCATCTGCACACAACAGTGATGATGCCTTTCCACGACCTCTCACTAAAGGTTGGAGGTCGTCGTGCAAGATCCGCCCCAGCATCCAATTTTTCCCTGCGAATCCCTAGTGCCCATCGTCCTGGAACCCCAAAAACCTCAAACCATCATATGGGGGGCTTATATAACAGTTACCCATACTTTTTTTGGGGGGGGCGTCCTTAGTATAATGATAGTATAATTGGCCCCAAAACCCTATTCTAACTATCAAGGCCCCAATACCATACCCTTGAATAGAACCCATTAAAGTAACTTTTTGTAGAACCCCTTTAAAAGGAGCCCCAAAACCCTATTCGAATTATCAAGGCCCCTACATTAAGCACACTCTGATGCTTTCCAGCTGGACATGGCTGCGAATCAGACGGGGGGTCTGCGTCCCAAGACTCCGCACCGTGTAATACCTATAGTCTCCGTTGTAGTTCTGTTTTTAAATTTTGGTTCAACCAATAATATATTATAACAATATTATGTTATGGATCCTACAAGGTAACCCCAAAAGGAACTACTATAGAGACTATAGGTACTAGAACAATATTATATTATGGATCCTACAAGGTAACCCCAAAAGGAACTACTATAGAGACTATAGGTACAGCCATCTTTCTGGGGCCTGTGTCATCCTCAGCCGTAGTGCTGACCTGGGTTTCCTTCAGTGCTTCCGTACATGAAATTTGAGCTTTCAGAGTTACCGGGTGAATAGCATCTAGGTAGAGGCCGCAGGAAAGATTTGACCTGGACTCTAGATTCTCCCGGCCGTTCTTGGGTGAAGCACGGAAGGCGTAATTTTGCAGCGTGGCCGACGACCTGCCATGCCAACCATGCCTTGCCGTTGACGATGCGTCGACCCGCTGTAACATCTCTACCCTAAGCCCTACACCCCTTATAAACCCAAGAAGCCTCAAGGAGCACATTCGGATTTAGATCTTGCGGATGGCTTTTGAGCCATGTCGACGTCCATCGGAGAGGCATTTTCAATGTGTGGGTTTGCACCCAAGGTAGGCCACCGAGGGGCCTTCGTTCCTCGAAGCCGGCATTCAAACAGGTGTGTATGTCGAGGGTATCCAGAGATTGCCTAATGATCGAGCATAGAAAACAGGAAGAGTTCTCGCATGTGGTGGTCTAAGAGGATGTTCCGTTAAGTTTCTCATGGAACAGAGCCGCAGTGTGCACGAAACAAGCAGATTACGAAGGTCTTGGGTCCGCTGTCGTCCCAGCCGGCCTGACTTTAGGTTTCCACCGGATCTGGGTTTTGGCGGTTCAGGGCTAAGGGTGGATAGGCAAAAGCCAAGAATGCTGATAGTAAGAACAGAAGTAGAAACGCATGGTATGATGCGCTTCGAAGCTGTGCTGAAGCCACCGGCTGCGTTTTAGAGCCCTGCTCCCCGGCTCTTTCGAGAGGCTTGCCATGACCATAATCCTACAGCGGAAGTCTTCGCAATTGGCTTAGGGTTGAGCGCTTTAGGGGTTTAGGGCTCTATAGGGTTTACACTTTAGCGGGTTCCGGGGTGTAGAGTTTGTGACGCAAACCCCCAGAGCCCTGAGATCTAAATTCGGGACCGAGGAATCCTACAATCCACCCCAGAGAGCAGCCCCATCCCCCCCTAAGCGGGGATCCTAACGTACCCTGCAAGGAAAGGGGACCCTCTTTTTCAGGACCCTATAGCATGCTTTTAAGGGAGACCCTCTAAACAAAGAACCCGACACCAGCTTTTCAGGAGAAAGGTTATTGCCGGGGGCAGGACTGGTGCGAGTGTCTTCATCTCCCGCGGGATGGCTCCATGCGCTCCTCTTCGCTTATTTTAAACCCTAAAACTTAAGCCCCTAAACCCTATCAGCCCTAACCTAAGCCCTTAATTAGCCTAAGGGGGACCCCTGTCTCCATGGTAGTTCCCTTGTTTGTTAACCAAATCTATATTAGAGGATCCTAGCCATAAAATTGGTTAACCCAACGAAGGAACTGCAATGGAGAGTATAGATAGATGCGTCAAACGTGCTGTATTAGTTAAAGACTTAGTATGCGCCTGAAATCCATAGCCCCAGGCCCTGAAGAAACTACCCCCAATTGTTGGAAGCTGAAGCCTTAAGCCCTCAAAGTCCTGAACCCCCAAAAGCCCTAAAATTCCATGCCCCACCAGGCTTTGAAGCTACCTAAACCTAAACCCCATGGCCCACAAGCCCTAACTTAGACTCTAGACGCCGACATCATTGCCTATTTCATTCCTCCGGCTTCCTTATCATAGTTAAAGCATAATGGGCCACAAAACACTATTCTAAATTATGAAGGCCCGCACAGCAAGCCCTAAACCAAGCCACATCTCTGCAGCGCCTGCGTGGAGCAGCACCGCCTCTTAGGGGAGCCGCCTTATATAGACGTCCTGGGATCAGGCTCTTGGCCAGGTGTTGCAAGTTCCCATACTTGGAGGTTCATGGGTAGTTATAAGTGGGGTTATGGAAGTGGGGTTATGGGGTTCCTTTAAG